AAAACTGAGGCCAGAAGCATAAGAACTTCCCAGAATCACCTGAGGGAGTGACAAGGTCAAGATTATAACCTTGTTCCAGACACCCAGCTTTTAGTTACTGTGACACACTTTCTCACTTTTAGCATTAACTTCATTTCTCCTTCTATGAAAAGAGGGTAAGAGTCTCTACATGTGTGATTATTATAATGATCAAAGGATGGACTTAAGGGATTGTCCTCTAAAGTGAGACATGAAAAATCCCAGAGGTAAAAAGGTCTGCAGAGGAATCCATATTGAAGCCTGTCACCAGTTGTGTTTAACGACTCATTTTTTGAATTAGAAACAGTAATGAATTGCTCATTGTCAACAGGGAAGAGAAAGACCCTGGTGTGGCAGGAATGGGACTCCAAAGGGCCTTGCCCAGATTTAGTGGAAACCAAGTTGAAGATGAGCCACACTGTTGAGAAATTAACCAACTGAAAATACACACCATTTCTCTGTCTTCTATATTTATCTCTACACTTCAAAGGCTGCACTTCAGTCTTGAAGAAGTAGTTTAATAGAGAACCAACAGGGCTCCAGGGAATTTATTTAGTGCGTACTCAAGTTAATACACATTACTGACACATTGCTGAAACATCCCGACTGAGGTGTCAACAGCCTAGTCTTCAGAAAATAAACAACATTTTACTATTACATATTAGCATATATGCATATATAAATAACATATATAAGCATATTAATAAATAAGATGATTCATGTTCAAGTTATATGAAAGGATTAGAAATAATCAACAGTTTTTGTATTTATTCATAACATCTTGCAAACTCTATGAGAACTATAAGAATATCAGTAAAGTTTATGGATTAAGAGCATGAATTTTGGAATTCCAGAAAGTCAGGGAATGAATCATGGCACTGACATTTATTAACTGTATGACCTTATGTGAATTGCTTAATCTCCTAAACGTTTTAGTCTCCACTTGGAAATTGGTATAGAAAATGTTTATTTTGTAGTGTTGTGAGGATAATTTGTGATAACATATATCAGTCATTTATCGAGCATTGGTGGATGCAAAATGAAAAGTACATCATATTAATGGAAGCATTTAGGTGTATAGATTCTAGTAAAATCATAAATGTTTGATAAAGTAAAACAATAGCAGAGTTACATTAACTGATTTGAACTAATTTGAAATGATAAAAGGAAAATTGAAGAATACATTGTGAAAGAGTGAGTACTTTTTGTGAATGTACTTAGTATCTGCTATTTTTTTTATCCTAAGTATTTGTTAGAATATATCTAATATTGGTGTTGTGATCCTGTGTGACTAAATAGGTAAGAATAACTTATTTGAAAAAATGTAAATAGTAACTTGCAGATACATCTACTTTTTAAATTTAAAAATAATTATTAGAAAGTATTTTAGCTTGAGCTCAAATTTTCAATTAGGAAAAAATGAACATAAATAAAATATTACTCAATAATTTATTTTAACCTAGGTATACATTGCTTTTATTTTTTTTTAAAGATTTTATTTATTTATTTGATAGAGATTACAAGTAGTCAGAGAGGCAGGCAGGGAGAGAGAAGGAAGCAGGCTCCCCACTGAATGGAGAGCTGGATGCAGGGCTGGATCCCAGGACCCTGAGACCATGACCTGAGCTGAAGGCAGAGGCCTTAACCCACTGAGCCACCCAGGTGCCCCACATTGCTGTTATTTTTATTTTAGAAGAAAGTAGATGAGTAGATTAAACAGTTAAGAATATTCATAGTGCCTTTGCTGAACTTTAAATTTTATAAAATTGTAACACACAAGTATCAGATGAAATAATACTGTATTTTTACTATTTTATAATATTTTTAAGAGTGCTGTTTACTAGCTACTACTGTTAGTTTTGCTAAGAGGCAGTCTATTACAGAGGTTGAGATCACGGGCTCCATAATGGGGATGATAATCATAATTACACCAATCTCTTGGATTCACTGTTCTGGGATGTAGTAAACATTCAAAATGATAGCTGCTGTAAACCTGAAATCATCCTTGACACTGTTAATTTTTTTTTCACACTCCCCAGTGATTCCATTAGCACATCTACCATGCCAACTACAGTTTCAAAATAGATCACACTGATGAATAACGCTCACCACAACCATTGCTAACACCATATCTAATCCACTATTACCTCTCATCTCCACAACTGCATTAACATGCTAATTAGTCTCCCTGCTGTAGCTTGTAGCAGTAAAGCCTATTTCTGCACAGTAATAATAATGGCAATTTAATACATAAATCAGATTATATGACTTTCTTACTCATACTAATTCTCCTCCCAACAAACCTATATGAAAAATCCAAAATTTTCATGTGCAGTGGTCCTATATGGTCTTCCCCTTGCTCAATTCCTTCTGGGTTCACTGACCCTCACACATTTTCAGCACATTCTCTCTCTGTGGACTTTGCCTGAGGACTCTATCCCCTAAATCCTCATTCCTTCACCTCTCCTAGTCTGTACTCTGGAAATACTTCCCAAGGACCCTTCTTTGACTCCATTTTACATGCTTTCTCCTTATGTGGTTTTGTTTTTCTTTAAAGGGCTTATTATTGTGGGCGTTTCACCTTGTATCCATCAACTGTCTGTCTTCTTCACCAGGATATACATTCCCTGGGGGTTGGATGTTTTGCTTTGATAACTAATGATTTCCCTGTGCTTAGAGATGTGCTTAGCAAATAGTGGGCTATATACATATGTTGAATGAATGGGGTGTCCCGTGCTAGGTATTTTGAATATATTATCTCATTTACTCTTCAAAAAATTCCTGAGAGGAGGTTACAGTCTTCTCATTTTCACACCTTAAAAAACTGAGTCAAGGAGGTCAAGTTAATCCACTGGAAGCACACAATACCTCACTGTGAGTCAAGGTGTAAATCCAAATCTAGTGATTTCAGAGTGCTCACTATTTCCATCTTGCTGTGCTCTTTATTGGATCTTTATGAGTCAGAAGTCAGGCAAATGATGCTTGTTTTTCTGCAGCAAGCCATTAATGACACTGTAAGTCAGTATAAGATCTCCATTAAGCATAAACTCTGCAAGTACTTCATCTTTAGGCCATTAAAATCTAATCAAGGTTCTGTTTATTTTTTATAAGACACTTCTGTCTATCTTATTAATTCTATCCAAATATGCAATGTCAATATTCATTTAAAAAACTGTGTGCAAATTATGAATTTTATATTTGAAATTTAGAAATTCATATTTCTCTATAACCTTATGAACCTTGAGTCTGGCTTTTCTTAAAATAGAATTGAGAGATTGCTCTAGTACGTCCTCCTAGAACATTGGAATTTTGTCCCACTTAGTACAAATGTATTGTCTTCTGCTTTAGTCCTTTCATCCTTGTAATTATATTTCATGAAGCCTTCAACTGTTCTTTGTTAGGACCTAGTTAGCCAGAGCGCTTCCATCTGGTTAAACAATAACTTTGTTGTTTAAAACTTAAACTGCCCCTGTCCCCCTTCCCTCAGGGGATTTACTTAAAAACAAGTCCCGGAAACCAGTCCCAGGTAACAAAGCCCAAATACAAGGGTGGGTCAGGCCAGGGGAGACATCCAATCTGATCGGGAACAGGGTTGAGGGGGGAGTGGGGGGGCGCATACTCTCTCCCTAGTTACCAAGGAGTATGGGACCTGCCCTCTGGGCACCTTTTGGGTGCCAATTCTGACCAAGGTGATAGGCTGGTTCAAATATCTACTAGGGTAAATTGTAGTTCAATTGGTCACTTATGTGTGACCTAACATGACCGTGCAGCTTTTTCTGTGTGTTACAATTTCATAGGTCACCTGTGCGTGGCCAGGCCCAACCACATGGCCTTTGTCCTTAAAACCTAGTCTGTGAAGCAGAGAGAGGTCACCTCTCTGTAAGAGGCACGGCCCAGAACGTTCAGTCTGATTCTTGATGCTTGGCACAAAATAAAGCTTTGCTTGACCTTTGCTTTGTATCAGTCTCACTCCTTTAATCATGGATGGACCCATTATTGGGGGACCTAACATTCTTAAATAAAATTATGATCTAGTCCTATGACTTGCTTATTGATAGCCAGTTTCTTGGCACTAAACTCATTTTTAGAATCACCCAAATCCTCATATCTCCTTCTTAGAATGAGCACCTCTGATTTAAGAAAACATTTTGTTAATTCAAGAAATGCAGATGTGGATTCCTAAACAAATTATATGTCTCCTGGGAGATCAGTTGTGAAGTTAATGTAAATGCTTCATAGAACTGATGCATCCAAAAAAATAACTTTTCTGTTAGGTTCCACTGAAATTAGTGAAAAGCTGGTTAGTTTACATGTTTCCACTGAAACTATATTTTTTCAACCCCTTTTTTTGTGTAGGAGTGCTTTTTATAAATTAATTTTAAAAAACTGCAGGAAGCAGAATCATAATATTATGGGAATATGATCACCAAATGCACTGTGTGTTAATAAGGTCAAATGACTATCTTCTAAATAAATAAACATTAAATTTGGAGAAAATATATTAGGATGTAGAATTGATATGATTGACTATAGAATCCTGAGCAATTGCCTTTAATATGTGAATATTACATGTGTGAAAAATGATACAGAAAATGTTCTGAAAAATTTACTACAAGGGCTAAAATGACCAATCTTTAGATTTGGAACAAAAAAACCATTTTAATTAAAGGTGGAAAATTACCATAATTAAAGTGAATGGCAATCAATAAAATGTCTTTTCAGACTTGTCTCTGATTTTCTGTTCATAAATACACCAAATTTCACTAACCTCTGGATTCAGGCTAGACACAGCCTTGACTTTCTCTTTTAATAATTGATTGTGGGAGTTTAGTCATATCAGCTGATTTCTGCAAATCATTTGAAAGACAAAATTAGAATTTTAAATTATTTAACTTTGAGAGCCCTTCAAATTCAAAACTGAATTCTTTGGAGCTAACCAGGATAAAGGATCTCGAATTTTGTTCCAGAGTACTTTTTTTTTTGTATCAGAACATAACTATTTTATTACAAAACTTAACATTATTTACAAAATGAAAAAATAATTGAATGACTATTGCAGGCCAAAGATAAAGGTTTTTCACTCAGTGATTGAAAATTAAGCAACATTTCCATGCACTTACACACCCTTTTTTTTTCTTTTCTTTTTTTTTAAGTTTTTATTTATTTATTTGAAAGACAGAGATCACAAGTAGGCAGAGAAGCAGGCAGAGAGAGGAGGAAGCAGGCTCCCCGCTGAGCAGAGAGCCCGATGCGGGGATCCATCCCAGGACCCTGAGATCATGACCTGAGCTGAAGGCAGAGGCTCAAACCACTGAGCCACCCAGGTGCCCCGGTACCTGGAATTTCTTAACAGAAGTTCTGGTTTTCAAAATGTTTACCCATTTGTTTGCCCAAAATAAATATTCACCAGTAAAAATAAGAATTTAGTAGCATAAAGAAGATTACTGCTTTTGAACCTCAAAGCAAAACAGAGTGCATTACTCACTAGGGTGGCTATGAGCATTTTGGACAAGTCTGTTCTTTACTGTGCAAGACTGTTCCACAAATTACCAGACACGGAGCATCCCTGATCACTGCCCACTAAGCACTAGCTGACCTCCCTCCATGGCCACCTCATGCCCCTGTGATGACAAAGCATGCCCCACAGACATTCCCAACTGCCCTCTCCCCATTCAAGAACTACCCATACAGCCTTTGTTAATAATGAATCTAATCTTCTTGTGGCAACTTGCTGGCCTGTTAATAAACTCATTAAAGGCCCTCAGATTCCAGCAGAAGCAGGCATACTCAAGATGGTATAGTTTAACAAAGAGTGCCATGAGGTGATGATAAAAGAAAAGCCAATGGACTAGACAGTGACAGATAATTTGTGAAATATGCAAACTCTTAAAATTCATGTTAGTAAAACTTCAATGTATTCACAATGCTTGTATGTTTATTGGAAGATGACAAAAAAAAGTCCATGATTCTGTACAATAAGCTTAATATTAATACAGTTTGTTCATTTTCCTTTAATATTTTTTGGCTTTCATGAATACTCAGAGCATTGAACATTTTGCAAGTAAGAATTATAACAGTACCTCTGTCACTTTGCTGAATTCATTACCACAAGAAAAACACAAATAATTAGTTTAATGCTTTTGCAATAAACTGATTAGTTAATATTTCCAAAGTTATATTAAACTGAAGCCTTCATTATGATCAATTGCTTGAATCAGTTTAGAACATAGAGTTTCTTTATCTTTGTATTTTGGAAGATCCAGAAGATTAAAACAAGTATGAGAAACTGGGAGATATTCCTCACCATCTCCTGTTGACTAGATGACTAGTTTTAAAGAACTGAAAGGCTCTTGTTGAATTTATTTAATTAAGAGTTTCCCAAGTTAGTATTATGCAGAGAGCTGTTGAATTTGTAGCCCCAGGGGTCCAGCATGGCTCAGTCAGTTAAGTGGCCAGCTTGAGTTAGGCTCAGGTCATGCATGGTGTTAGCCTTGTAAGATCAAGCCCCACAACAGGCTCTGTGCTCAGCAAGGAGTCTGCTTGAGATTCTCTCTCTTTCTCTAAAATAAATCAATAAATAAAAATCTTAAAGAGAAAGAAAAAGAAAGGAAGAAAGGAAAGACGGTAGGAAGGAAGGAAGGAAGGAAGAAAGGAAGGAAAGAAAGAAAGAAAGAAAGAAAGAAAGAAAGAAAGAAAGAAAGAGAAAATACTCCTCCTCCAGCCTCAGTCCCAAAATTCCAGGTTCAGTAATTATGAGATGGCACTATGGAAAATGCAACTTTCAGTATTCTCTAGATAAGACTGCTGATCAACTAGATTTGGAAACCACTAATCTAAGCTCCATTTTCTAGTTATGAAAATACAGACATTCAGAAGATTTACCTATTGTCTCAATATTTTAAGGTAGTTTTGTGTCAATCTTTAGTAGGTAAAAAAGAAATGTACTCATGTGAAAGAATGAGAGAATATTTGTTTGCTTAAATATTTATTAACTACCATGAATGTTGTGGAAGGTTAAACTCTGGTGGTGATGTTGTTGGCAGGGGGTGGGGGATAAGGAGTCACAATATCCTTTGTGTAAAAATAATCAGAGCTTGAAAGAAGATTTCACTGTGAGCCAAAATAAAACATTAGGGGACAATATATGAAGAGAGAATATGAAGTATTTTAAAATATGTCAGCCAGCATTGTTGTTACTAAATTTGAGTTATGTATTATAAAGACTTCATGTACTAACAGGATGGATGCTATGTAATTTAAAAGTATAATATTTTAATTAATTAGATTTAATGATCATAGAAAATTCATCTGGTCTAGGTGATTTGATGAATTGGAAAGCGAGCTGAGCCAGTTTTGATCATTTAGTTTGAGTTTAAACAAAATAGCAGATCTGGGAAAATAAACACCTGTAAAGCATTCTTTCAGGTATAGAAGAACATAGATTGCCCTGAATTTTTGCTTCACGAACTCCAATACAGACTTTAAAGACTTTGAAGCTCATTGGGATCTTACCCACATTTCACTCATAGAATGCTCACTTCTTCCTACATAAATTCATAGATACAATGAGAGGAGATACAGAGAGGGCTCCCCAAATCCACAGGAAAAATGTAAATTAAAAAATGGAGATCATGGGGCATTTGGGTGGCTCAGTGGGTTAAAGCCTCTGCCTTCGGCTCAGGTCATGATCCCTGGGTCCTGGGATCAAGCCCCACATCGGGCTCTCTGCTCGGCAGGGAGCCTGCTTCCTCCTCTCTCTCTGCCTGCCTCTCTGCCTACTTGTGATCTCTGTCTCTCAAAAAATAAATAAAATCTTAAAAAAAAAATGGAGAACATGTCCTGATTACCTGAACATTAGACAAGCTCTGGGCTGCAGCTCCCAGAACACTGCTCAGATATCCCATTAAATACATTTGCATTCAGAAACAATCACAGAAGAAAATATACTGAACAGAAGTTTACCAGTAGTGAGTAAATACAATTCCCAACAACCAGAAATTCTCAAACTCATGAAAGTAGAGCACAGATATCCCCAGAGACTGAGATCATACAGAATACAGCAAGTTCCTCTTTTTTATGTCCATGTTACATTTTTCCTATGAATTTCTAAATACCTTAACATAGTTTAAAGTTTGTTTTTTTTTTTTTTTAAGATTTATTTATTTATTTTGGAGATTGAGAGAGAGAGAGAGAGAGAAGTGGGGAGGAGCAGAAGAAGAGGGAGAGGGAGAGAATCTCTACTAGATTCCCCACTGAGCACAGAGCCCAATGCAGATCTTGATCCCATGACCTCGAGATGGTGACCTGAGCTGAAATCAAGAGTCAAGACACTCAACTGACTGAGCCACCCAAGCTCTCCAACACAGTTGAAGTTTTAAAGTTCAAATGGATAATAGATTTCATAATGTTCAAATTATGGATAAATCAATGTATTTTGTTGATAAAGAGGAAAACAATTTTTAAATTTTAATTTTCTCCAAAGCAGTGGGGGAATTTAACCTTCTTTTTATAAAGCGGTAAAATGAGATTCAGAAAAGTCAAATGAGAATCTGCCAGTCACCCAACCAGTTCTTTACAAATTTGAGACTGAAATTCAACTCACCTATCTAGAGATCAGTTTTTACAGATTGTTAACTGTGAGTTTTTCCTGAGGATGTTTCTTAAGGAAAATGTGAGTCATTATAGAAAAATATTTGTGGGATTAGGGGCCAGGATCCACTTCGTAATAAAAACTAAGTCTCACATTTCAAGTGGTCATATACTAATATTATCAATATTAGTTCTGATTTATGTTCAGTGTCCTCACTTCTTATGTGGTTTTGCATTTTTTGTTGAGATTTTTTTTCCTTTCTTCACCAACTATTATCATTAATAGTTGCATTACAATTGAATGGGCTTGGGAGACCCTCAGGGTGCACCTGCAGATTTTACCAAGGTCTCATCTAACCGTGTGAGACCATACACACTAAACAGAATGCTTCCTTTTAACACAAGGTGAAAACTGAAAGGAGATCATCAACAACACATATTTTCTTCACCAAACATTTCTAGATCAAAACAACATAAAGCATCACTTTGAAGGAGGTTGCTCTCTGGTAAGACAAAGTACTTTCTGATGAAAAAACTAGATCTATACAACTCCTTTCAAAGTTCCGTGTTGAGCTTGCTGGTGCTGTGTTTTATGTGGCTGTACTTGGAGGCCACTTGGTGGACAAGTGTGAAAGCCTGCAAGGGGCATCTATCAGTGAACGAGGCTCAAGGGAAAATGTAGGAGATTATGTCATCTGTTTGTAAAATACATGTGGGACAAAAAGCTTACCAGTTTGCTGTAGAGCAGTTAGAGTAGTCTAAATCCTTGTCACTCAGCACCTGTTCTCAGACTTGTTCCCCCTTTACCTTGCTAGAAATGCAGAATTCGTAAATAGGGGCAGCTTTTTGAATGTCAATCATACCTCAGTAAAGTGGTTGAAAAATAAATGGATGGACACCTAGGCGGTAAAGTCAGATAAACATCTGATTCTTTTTTTTTTTTTTTTCTTAAAGCATCCGATTCTTGATTTCAGCTCAGGTCATGATCTCAGGGTTATGAAATTGAGCCCAACGTTGGGATCCATGCTCAGCATAGAGTCTGCTTGAGAATCTATCTTCCTTTCCCTCTGCACTTCCAGCTCATGCTCTCTCTCTCTCAAATAAATAAGTCTTAGAAAAAAACAAGAAAAAATATAAAGCAGAATCTCAGGTCTCACACTCAGATTTTTTTGCATTTTATTAATATTCCTTGGTCATTTGTATGTTCATGAAAATCTGAAAAGTGCTAGTATAAACATTTTTACTAGAGAATTTATGGTTTATTGAATGACAAATGGACAATTACATATTTTATTTTTATACCTCTTAATTGCAATTAATCCATTTCACAGCAATTAGAAAAATTATTCATATTTAATGAAAAATCGATAAATGATTTCTCCATTTCTAAAGAAACTTGATAATAAAAGTGTAAGTATCACAAAATATCCTTGTAGGTTGAACTTCTACTATAGGGGTCATAATGATATCATTAACCACATGCAACTGTAGGCAAAAATCTGTTGAAGAGTCATAGATATTTATTGCAAAAGTTTTTAGTTGTTTTTAGAAGACCATCCCCAAAGATAGTAATTTAAGACAAGAAAACGCAAGAAAGTACTATTACATATCATGTCATAAAGCAGAACTTTCACTTAAGCTTTTCATTTGCTAAATGTTATTTTACTCATGTTATTCCCAGTACATGCTGTTTATGTGTGTATGGTACGTAAGTATACATCTATAAAAAACAGTGATAGTTGTTAATATGATGGCTTCATTAACACAGGAATTTTGCAAACAGTTAAAGGATGACTGTTTTGTATCGGCATCATCATGTATTTGAAAAAAAAATGTAAGATTAGTTAATTCCAATACTTTAATTTTTTTTTAAATCCAGTATTATATTCTGCTTTGAAAAGTTCATTTTGTAAAAGATGAAGTATTTGATTTTGTGAATACTTTTGCATATTTGTTTAAAAGTTCAATATTAAAGTTAGAAAATTTTGTGGTGATTTTTTAAAAGATTTTATTTATTTATTTGACAGAGAGAGACACAGTAAGAAAGGAAACAGAAGCACTGGGAGTGGGAGAAGCAGGCTTCGCGCTGAGCAGGGAGCTTGATCCCAGGACTCTGCAATCATGACCTGAGCTGAAGGCAGATGCTTAACAACTGAGCCACCTAGGCGCCCCTGCAGTGATTAAAAATAAGTGAATTCTGATGCTACAGAGGGTCAGTTAAAGGTAATACTCTAATAAACTAACAGGAGAGAAATATACTTGAATTTAATTATAGAAGACAGATAATCTAAAATTTCATCCAATCCAACAGAGATAATCTGCTCTATAGAAAGAAGCAATCTCATATGTCAGACAGGCAACATATGCGTCTGAATTCTTCATTTTTTATAACTGAACATAAATTTCAGGAACGAATGTAATGTTAAGGAAGTTAGCATGGCAGTTTGTGATTTTTCTTTTGCAGTCCATCGTCTGTATGGTTTCAGAAATTTTTTAATCTTTATAAACTACTATTCATGTCAATCTAAGTGCCTGGCAATAGTTTTGAGATTGCTTTGTAAAATAAATCATTTTAATTTAGTTATACTTTCATCAAAATCAGCTGGAAATTAACCAAATAGAAAGACTAGAACACATTTAAAGCTTTAATA